TAAAACCAAAAACAAAGACAATCTGTAAATTTTTCTATTATTTTTATGATTATTAGTTGTACTTTACTGTAGTAAAATGTGTTATTATTTTATAGTTGTATGTATGTATTTTGTTTGTTCGATTTTGCACTGTAAAAATGCTATTGTATAATTATTGTAATATGTAAGTTATATTTCACCGTAAAAAATGTTATGTTATTGTACAGTAGTTCAATTTCTTGCTTGCATGTATATAATTTTGTATTGACTGAATACACTGTTCTAAATGCTAATAGAGGGTGATATTTTGGTAAGACTACTGCTATGAATGCTTTGCAAATTACTTCTTTTATCGTATAGTTTATCAATCATAGTATTCTGGCTGCAGGTTCCATTACACCTTGCCTCTGTCAAGTGCAAGGCTGTGTATGTAGAGAAAATGAAGGCATTCGTCAAAGACTGTGAGTGGTGCAATAACTTACTGTTAGGTGTGTTTGGAGAGGAGCAGGCCTCTCTTCTGCGCTGCAAACTCCAAGGAGAAAAGAGCAAAGAACACATGAAGGTTTTGAAGGAAGTCTTGCCAGACTTCCTGAGATGTGCCGAAAGTGAGTCTAATACTATTACTGGAAACGATTCCTTTCCCCTTAATCTTGTGCTGCCTTGCTTAATTATGTTTATATTGTTCCAGAGGAATACAAGACCTGGAAACGGTCGTTTTTCAGGACAGATGATGAGGGGAACCAAGTACCAGTGTTCGATGAGTCTATGATCAGTGACTTTGTCTACGGTTTGGAGGGATACTTAGGGCAGAGGTGTAAAGCAATGTACGCCAAGCTTCACCCAGCTCCTGCCAAAGCCAGAGCTGCGCCTGCAGCTGCGCCTGCTGCAGCTGCTGAACAACAGGTAGGTTATGTTAACAAATTAGCCTTTCTTGTTTTTCACAGCACAACCAAGTGCTTTGTAAACTTCAGTCATGTTAACTTTCTTTCCCTCTCTGCAGGTCGCCGCAGACGGAGACGGTGGAGCTGTTGCTGTTGTAACGAAGAAGAGGAAATACGGCACGAGGGGGTCGGCTCCTCGACCTCCACGCCTTGTGCCCCGACAACAACCTCCTCAGCCTCGTCAACCACCCCTGCAGCACAAGCCGGCGCACCATCCCCCGCAGCACCCCCCCCCCCTCCCTCTCGCACGACAGCTTGAGCCGCTGCACCACAACGACGGCTCTGAACAACCACCCTGGATGGCCACTGCAGGACCCTCCAACCAGGGGCTGGCCGTGCAGGTGGAGAACCCGTTGGCTGCCGCCATTTCCTTCTCTACCAACTTAAGTAATAAATAAATTTTTATTCATACTTTTTGCTCATCACTTATGGACGCCCCCTACCCCAAAATAACACAATTTATGGACGCACCCTACACGGGAGAATTCTTTACACATTCAAGACGATTTGAACAAGATTCTCAAACAATTTGTAATAGTTTCCTACGGGATTCTTAAACTGCGTCAATGGCATTCGCATAGGAAAAGAACTGGCTTTCAACTAGTATCTTACCGCGCCCGAGGGGTATCGCATAGGATTGCAACACGCTTCCGAGAGGAATCCAGTCGAGCGACGCGGTTCGCACTGGAATCCGACAAACTTTCAATACGAATCCAGGCGGCCGACGCGGTTCGCACAGGCATTGAACTGGCTTTGCATCGGCTTTCAAAGCGGTTTCGTGATGCTTGTAAGATTCTCGTCAAATGACTCTTAACAAGCATTCAGATTCCTGTAAGTGTTGCATTTTTTCCAATGCAAAGCCAGTTTATCAGGTTTTCACTGGTTTTGAGGGCGTTTTCAATTCCTGTCAAAATCGTCATAAGGAGATTCTGAAATCGCAAGCAAACCCTCTCATTTTCGTCAGGGTACTAGAGTTCCCAGATCCTTGCACAAGTTCAAACTGTGGAGAGGTCATGAATGGAGGAATTTCTTAGTTTATTATTCACTTCCCTGCCTAAAGGGAGTAGGTTTTCCAGCAAAATATCTGAACCATTGGTTTTTACTAGTATATGCAATGTCCTGTTTTCTTAGGGAGTACATTTCAGAAGAAGACTTTGAGAGAGGAGAAAGGGCTCTGAGACGGTATGTTCTAACAATAGAGGATGTGTATGGCACAAATGTACTTATGAAATTCAATACGCACCTCTTACTACATATACCTCAGAGTGTTAAAAATTTTGGAGCATTATGGGCTTCGTCAACATTTTCATATGAACATTATAATGGCATGCTTGCTAAAATGTTTAGATCCTCTCAGGCCGTGCCTCTCCAAATCTGCAAAAATTATGTCCGCTTTCAAGGTGTGAAAGATGACCTACTGAAATTGGTAGAGCGAAATAATGTGCCCCTATGTGTTACCGAACTTTTGCAATCCCTCTCAAGTGAAAAGCATTCCCTACGTGCTGTAAAGGGTGGTGATCTGGTGCTGTTCGGGGCACCACAGTACAGCCAACTAAATGTCATATCCCGAAATGCTATTGAGACTCTCTTGGGAACTCGTATACTCAACAATGGCAATGTAGTCTCTTTTAATAGGTTTCTATATAAGGGAGTTTTGTATCACGTCAGAGACCATCCTCGTCTCAAAAAGCGGATAAACTGTGCTGTTCAACTACACAACGATAACTATTTTATGATTACTCACTTGTTGAAAGTTTTGTCTGTCGATGTGGACGCAAGACATACCTATGTCATATTGGGAAACGAGTTGCAACGTACAGGACAGCCACTGTGCTAAAATCATAACTTGCACATTTCATCAGATTATTTTGCTGCAGTAGTGGACGACTCAAAATTAAGTGTTGCTTTTAAACCTGAAAGTATCAGGAAGAAATGCCTCCTGACATTTTACCCCAACAATGCCCAACGATATCTCTGTTATCCACTGGTTTATGTACTTGAAAGAGACTAAATATTCTTTAAAAATTGGTGCTTGTCTTTTTTATCAGAAATTAAGTAACTATTTGTTATTAAGGTTTGCAATTGACATTTAGATTAAATATTGTAAAAAATTAGGTTTGTCATTTTTATAATAAAGTTATTATATCTGTTATTAATTATTGCATTTTGTCAATTTTCAACTATCTTCTGATTTTCAACATTTTTACATCACCCATACTTTACAATTTCTCCCCTCATAGCTGATGTACTGGCCATCACACATATGACATTTTTCCCACCACACCATGTAATGACCATCACACCCAGTACACAGCAGATGTACTGGCCATCACACTTATGACATTATGCCCAACACACCATGTAATGACCATCACACCCAATACATGATCTATGTACTGCTAGTACATACGACCAACACATCATGTAATGACCATCACACCCAATACATGGTCCATGTAATGCTAGTACATACCATTACACACCATTACATTCTGCTATATGATGACATGTAATAGTTTTCTATAAGGGACCCTTACAATATAACGACGAAAGTTACGTTGTGGCCTATTCAGATCGTGGCCCACGAGATAGGCAACAGGCTTGTTATCGGTCTCCTTTGCGGAGGTGCTTCCAAACCGAATAGCTACGATGACCTTTTGCGGGAAACTGTCGACGAACTTAACAGACTGATTACGGACGGACTCATTGTGGATGAGGTGCGCTACCAACTGGCGGTGCGCGCCTGGGTGTGTGACTCCCCAGCTCTTAGCGGCATTCAGAATGTAATTGCGGGAAATGGGTTGCATGGCTGCCCTCGCTGTCATGCTGTTGGCAAATCATTTTGCAACCGTACGGTGTATGATGCAGCGCCCGCAGAGCCTAGAACCGACAGGTCATTCCGGGATAGGACAGACGGCATTCACCACCACGGGTCTACCGTGTTGTCTGAACTACCTATAGACATGGTGTCCCAGTTTGTCATCGAACCGATGCAAGTAGTTTCCCTGCGAGTGGTGAAGTCGATGGTGGAGCGTCTCGACAAAGGAAAACTTCTCTTTGCAAAGGTTAAGACGGACACGAAATCAGCGCGGAAGGGTTGGAAGTGGGTTTGGGCGCAGTTGAGTGAATCCAGAAAGACAGGCAGGGGCCTAAGTGCCAACCAGGTTAAAGTGCTTGACGCGCGACTGCACGCCATGCGCTTTGATCGGCCGTGTGAGTTCCAGCGGCGTATCTTGTCATTCCACGACCATGCCAGCTGGAAAGCCCACCAGGCCAGAACGTTTTGCCTGCATGTCATTCCCCTCGTGATGGGGGACTGTGGCCTGCCCAAAAAGCGGTTCGAACTAGCCATGAGACTGCACTGTGCGATCAGGATTCGTGCAGCCGGCCAGACGTCGCCCCCATGCAAGAAAGTCCGTTCTACGACGGTCGCCCAGAGAATGTCCGATCTACAAGCGTCGTTTGGAGAATGTTCGATCTGCAATAGCCCGGCTGGAGAACATCCGAAGCATCATTTTTGACTGTTTTGAGATATTGATGCCATTTTACGTATGTCGCTAAGTTACATAAAATAGCACCAACATCTCAAAACAGTCAAAAATGTTGCTTCGGATGTTCTCCAGTCGGGCTAATGCAGATCGAACATTCTCCAAACGACGTTTGTAGATCGGACAATCTCTGGGCGACCGTCGTAGAACGGACTTTCTTGCATGGGGGCGACGCAGACTTCCTACGAGTAGCCGAATCACTCTTGCGGCAATTATTCATGGGGGCGGCCGGAGCATTCGGACGGCAGTTCCCCGTATACACAACCCATTCCCTATTGCACCTGGTCGATGACGTCAGACGATTTGGACCACTGGATTTATTTAGCGCTTTCACCTTTGAGAACAACATGCGGCACTTAGGGAAATTGGTGCGAGTGCCCAAATACCCAGTTAGGCAGATCTGGTGTCGTTTCAGGGAGAGGAGTAAGGCGGAGGTCACGGGGGTGGTGAAGAATTGGAAAGCGCCAAAGTGCGATGTGGAACTTGGTAAGATGGTGCCAAGGACAGTCCCTTTCCAAGCACTGCGGCAAGTGAAGTCAGTTCGGTGGGGAACTGCCAAGGGGAAGATGGAAGTTACTTCGGCAGGGGGTGACCGTCACGTCACGTTTGGCCAGGGCATGGCGCGTGTCGAGGCGGTCCTGGAGACCGTGGACCACACCGTAGAGCTGGTGTGCCGCGTGAACCGAAGCACAAGGCCCCTTTACCTGTGGCCTGTGAAGTCGACGGAATTGGGCATCCACAAGATGTCCGAAAAAAACTTAGCAGATGCTCTTGTCCTGGTGGGTCTGAAGGATGTATTAGGGCAAGTAGCTGCGTTTCACCGCGCCGATGGCGCCATAGTGGGAATGGAGCTCCTCCATACAGTCACCTCTGAAGGTGATGACGAGGTTCATAACCCCCCCCCCCCCCCCCCCCTGCGCTGCGCATTATGGCTGCCTTGCCTATGCGTCCAGGTGCAAGGCGTGCAAGAGTGGTCGCGCCTTATCACTGGTTGTAATTCTACTTTTCTTTTGACGCAGGATTGACCCGGAGTATTGGATTGTCTCGTGTGATGAGGAGGGCGTCTTCCCGGTGCCGCAGGGGTGGCTGGCCGCCGCTGGTCCACTCGGAAAGGGTACGCCGTGCCAGGTGTGTTTTCCGGAATCAGTGGGCCGGGAAGACAGGGACAACCGCCGGTTCACGGCAGCGGTCAGGGGCAACTGGCCCAAGGAGAAGCCGGTGATGGGCATGAAGTGGGTCAACCGAGACGCCACGATCAAAGGCGGACCATACGGTGAGTACATGTGACGTTGCGT